ATTATCTTTGTTGTTTGTGTGTTCAGACGCCACACATGAGTGATTTCTCACAGTAATTGTCTTTCTCTGTCTTGTTTATTTCACTTAGTCTACTGCCTTCAATACCTATCCACATGGTCATTAATGGTAAGGTTTCCTTATTTTTCTCTTTGAACTGAATAATATTCTCTTGTACATATGTATCACAGTGTCTTTTTTCCATTTGTCCATCGATAGGCACTTATACCTTGGCTGCCATAAATAATGTTGCTATAAATGTGAGGGCACAGAAAGCCTTTTGAGTGAGTGTTTTCATTTCCTTTGGCCATACACCCAGAAATGGAATTGTTGGATCATGTGACAGTTTTATTTTTAATTTTTTAAAAACCTTCATACTAGTTTCAATAGTGACTGAACCAATTTATAATCCCACCAACAGCACATAAGGACCCTCTTTTCTTCATAACAGTCACTTTTTAAAGATATTGGTTTAGTTTGGCTTTTGGTCAGTCATTTATTATTTTATTCTTTGAAAAATGAGGGGAAAGTTCCTTGTCACTTTATTTCTTTCTCCCATGTTCAACGTAAATTGTTGGCATATAAGACTATGAGAGGGCCCTACCCTGGTGGCGCAGGCGGTTGAGCACCACCATGCAGTGAGGCTGTCCACAGCCTCTGCAGGACTGGATCAATCCCAGCCAACAACCGGCGAGGGTCCTACATGGGGCAGCAGACCTCTCCTGTCTCGCCTGCTCCCCTCGACAGTGTACTTCGGTCAATCTGCCTGTTCTGTTCCCTGCTCTGTCTCTGGTGAGTCCTCTCACCCTCACCACACATCTGGCCTGTGCCCTGGTTCTTGTATAAATAAATGAATAAATCTTTTAAAAAAAAGACTATGATAGGCATAATAACGATACATGAAGGAAAGCTAAAGTTTGAGTAGGAAGACTAGTTGTGGACAATCGGGGATAATAAAGAAGTAGTTAAGATTTGGGATTTTTAATTTCAAAAACAATATGGTTACATAAAAAGATAGAAATCCTATAATATACAACCAACTTTCAAATTGGTATATGTATTCTTTATTGGTAAATCACATAAATATGAGTAATAAAAATTGTAGTTTACAAAATGAAGTCTTTCAATAGTAGAAATAGATGCCATAGGCAAGAAGCATGCAAGGAGAGAATCACTGTTGCTTTCACTGTTCAGAAGAAAGGATCACACAAATTTCTTTCCTACTGTGTTTTAAAATTTTTGAGGAAAATATTGTTTATACAACATAATTTTTCTTTTTTTAAAATGTATTTATATTTATACAAGAGCTGGGGTACAGGCCAGAGGCATGGGAGGGTGAATGGACTGACCAGAGACAGAGCAGGGAGCAGAACAGGCAGACGGACCGAAGACACTGCTGAGGGGAGCAGCGGGCGAGACAGGAGAGGTCTGCCATGCCATGTGGGAATCTCCCTGGCTGGCCGGGAATAGAACCCGCGCTGCCAGGCTGTGAACAGATTTACAGCGCTATGCTCAACCTGCTGTGCCACAGGGGAGGCCCAATTTTTCTTTTTTACTTAAGAAGAAAAAGAACTCATGAAATAAACAGGAAAAAATGAGTAGAAATAAAAGGTGAGTTCAGAATAATTTTAGATTTTCTATAAACATGAAGTCTTCTTAAGTTTCTTAGTTTTGAGAAACTGGGGAAAGGTAGAGTGGATTTGGGTTTGGGATTTGTTGAGGAAGATGTTGAGAGTTGATTGATAAAAACATTCTGGATCTGCCATCTCAGAATGTCTTTTTCCTTGCCTGCTCCTAGTGCTTTCCTCTGTATTGATATTGGGATTTTAAAAACTTTTTTTCTGTTACGTGACATCTCAGGTAACTATGCTTGAATCATAAGTGTTGATGTTCAAATCTTGCTGGTTCTCAGTTTCCTCAACTACATTATGGGAATTTACTATACATATCACAGCAAGTTGCATTGCATTAAAGTAGGCTAAACTGTGGTTTTGCATAGATTCCTCTGTATAATTGTTTAAGCACAATGAGTATGTGGTTCCCCGCCATGTGTAGTTTAGGGCAGGTGTGTGTAGATGAATGCTCGATGCCATGTGATGATGCAAAGACACAGGATCTTCCCTTACTGTGGTTCTGTAATCACTGAGAGTCTTATTGGCAACTGCATCCATCAGTTGTGGAAGGAAAAATCAACTGGATAAGAGACATGGTGACCAGCAAGTAGCATATATTCTTCCCACACATTTTTATTCATGTGAACTTGCTCACATGTCCCTAGCTCTAATCATATGGGGAGCTGAAAATGTAATAAAACCATCATCCCATTTAAGTCCCATTGCTACAGACAATAGAAAATGGACATTAGTTAATATCAGCAATATCTGCCACTATATTTATGTTTTTCAAAACATTTAATAAAAATACATTACATAGGAAGTGACAACACATTCTTTTTCTCTTTTTCTCTGCGTTTGAAATTTCCAAGCAGCGTGGGGAAAAAAAAAAAAACCACAAACTGTCACACAAAAAAATATTAAGCATACACTATTTATTTGGAGAAAATCAACATACAACTTACAGGATGTGCCATAGGTCAAAATAAAAAGGTAATTTTTTTTATTAGCTCCTCTACTTTAAAATTTCAATTAATTCACCTGTCACATGGCCTGAACTTAATAATCTTTTTTTTTTAGATTTATTTATTTATTTATACCAGCACTGGGTACAGTCAGAAGCACGGGAGGGTAAGAGGATTCACCAGAGCCAGAGCAGGGAACAGAGCAGGCAGACTGATGAAGGACACTGCTGAGGGGAGCAGCGGGCACAGCAGAAGAGGTCTGCATGCCATGTGGGACTCTTGCCAGAGGCCGGGGATCGAACCGGTGCTGCAGGGGCTGCAGGCAGCTTCGCAACCCAGTGTTCAACTGCTGCACCATTGGGGAGGCCCTGAACTTAATAATCTTCATAAAGGTTGAAGTGCTTAAGAAAATGTTCAGTTTCATCCCATTTCCGTCCATGTGCAAGGACATTTGTCAATAGCTGACATTCAGGGTTCAGAAATTTTCTAAACTATGGGATCAGTAAAAATGAATATTGAAACAAAACAATCAGTCAAAACCATCCAGTAATAAAGCCTAGAAATCTGTATGTAAAATTAAGGATGCCAGAGGCGGATGGGACTGGTGGAAAGCAAGGATGGGGGCCCAGTGGACAATAGTGGAGGACAATGGGTCTTTGGCGGTGGATGCGATGTGGTGACATACATATAAGGTGGTGTGATCCTATACCTCTGAATTGCATTCAATATTGCAAACCAGTGTTACCTCAAAAAAATTAATATTGACTTTTTTATTCCCATGTGAAATGAAAATAGAAAATGTAGGCCATAAGTCTTCCAACTAAGCAAAAACTAACACAGATATCCTATAAATTCCGGTCTGTCAAATAATGAAATTCTAGGACCCAAAATCAATGTTCCATGTTAGAACATTCCTGTGTGTCAAGTATACCAAACCATATGAAATTCATGAATGTGGCACACTTATTCCTGTGTCCCTGAGACTTTGCATTCATTATTCTGAGACTCTGAATAAATTCTATCCAACTTTTTATCTATCCAGCTTTCTTCACCTGGGAAATGGTATGCCTGCTATAGGTTCAAGTCTTCCATCACTGTCCTCAGAAGGCCTTTTTGATCACCCACTGAGGCACTTTGTCCTCGCTGTTCCTACTGTGCCTTGTGTTTGCCTTTCTTGCACAGCACACTACACATTTTTGTTTACATGTCTTGCTTTCTTCAACACCCAGCATGCTCCTATTGCTCCGTGGACATCTGCTGAGTGAATGAATGTTAACCTCTCAAAGGCAGGTCCTTGGTCTTTCATCTTTGCATCCACAACAAACTAAGCCATGCTAGGCTCATACAATGTTAGAGTTTTGCTGCTACCCAAAAGTAGAACATTCCTATAAAACCTTTGTAAGTTGAAATGAAGTAAAGTGAAGAAGCAATTGTTATTAGTTTATATGAAAAAAGTGAGCATTTCCAAAACAAATAGAAAACTTCTAAATCACACCAAATCACGAGACCAAAAATAACACTCCTAAATTGTAAAAGCAGAAATCACATGGTACATACACAACCTGTGTAAAGCAGTTGTCAGGGAAGGAGATTGATGGGGTGTTCTTGCTGCTTGGGGTGCAAACTGACTCTAGAAAGGCTGCTACAAAACAATGCTTAGTGCTATTTTCACTTTCCTTAAAGCAGATACAAATATAGGCCTTTCTCAAAAGTACGGTGCTATAACATGAATTTGTAGAAAAGGGGATGCATGCAGTCGGAAAAAGAGAAGAAATATAAGATAGAGTTAGAAACTTGAAAGATAGAAGAAAGGGGTTACGGTGCACCCTATGAAGCTGCTCACAGCCTCTGCAGTACGACTTCGATCCCCAGCCAGAGAGCTACCCACATGGTACAGCAGACCTCTCCTGTCTCGCCCGCTGCTCCCCTCAGCAGTGTATTTCAGTCAGTCTGCCTGTTCTGTTCCCTACTTTGTCTCTGGTGAATCCTCTCACCCCCTGCACCTCTGGCCTGGACCCCAGCTCTGTATGCATAAATAAATAAATCTTTAAAAAAAATAAAAGAAAGATAGAAGGGAATTACTTGTCAGGCAAAGGATAAGTCATGCTACAAACTAACATTGCAAAAGGATTAAAAACAAAGCAAATTCCATTAGATAATCAAAAGATAGACACGGTGATGACTGAGTAAAGATGAAGAATTGTAATGGGAAAAAACATTCAAGATGAATTGTAAGCTACTAATGGGAGTCAGATGAAGGGACAGGATAGAAGTTGGGCCAAAGTAGTACCAGGGACTGAAGAACAAGGTCAGGGCATATGTGGGGGAGGGCGTCTTAATTGTGCAGTGTTTCTTCTCTCATCGAGAGTTGAATGCTGTGACTATGTGAGGTGTTACTACAATACAACTCTCTCTGATCTTCCAGGAACCGGTGGTTGGTCCCCAGCAGATTCCAATGCTCAACAGTGGCTCCAGATGGACTTGGGAAACAGAGTGGAGATCACAGCGGTGGCCACACAGGGTCGGTATGGAAGCTCTGACTGGGTGACGAGTTACAGCCTGATGTTCAGTGACACAGGACGCAACTGGAAACAGTACAAGCAAGAAGACAGCATCTGGGTAGGACAGCTTTTCTCTTCAGTTGAATGAAACCTTATGTGATAATGATAACCAATGAACGTTCCTGTCATTTGCTTAGGCAAATGATTGTTAGTAGCTTAAAATATGCAATAATTTTGAGATCCATTCAGAAAAAATTAGATGACACATAAGTCCTATTTCCAGCATGACTTCCATTCCTAGTAAAATCAGTAGGCTTGTTATAAAAATTAACGTTTCTGGTAACTTCATTGATTCACTAACTGGGCCTCTGCACAGAAAAGTAGAGTACAGGAGGTTATTATTAATGAGAATGTATTGATTTACTGAACACTGATTCATTTACTTACATATCAGCTCATTATACATATCAGGTATTTTATATAACTGGTCATGACCCATGGACTCAGTTGTGTAAGTTAATCAAAGTCTAATTTGTGACTCTTTCCTTGTGAATCTGTAGTCTAATCTGAGGTTCAAATCACAGTCCTTAACAGTCTGCATTCAAGATCTGAAAACAACTGAAATTCTTAAAAATATAAAGAAAGTATAAAATTCAGAGTCAATCAATCATTACCCACAAGCTTCAGCTGGGAGTAAAGGACTGTTTGCTCAAAGTTGTGAAAAGAACTTTCCTTCCCCTATGAGGGCCTCCCTGGTGGCACAGGGGTTAAAGTCGTAATGCTATTAAGATATCCTCAGCCACTGATGAATGAGTTTGATCCCTGGCCAAGGAACTAATCCACATGGTGCAGCAGACCTCTCCTGTCTTGCCCACTGCTCCCCTCAGCAGTGTATTTCAGTAGATTCACCTGTTCTGCTTCCCCTTCTGTCTCATCTCTCTCACCTCTGATCTACACGCCAATTCTTGTATGCATGGATGAATAAAATAAATCTTTAAAAAAAAATTTTGTTCCCCACTCCCCGTTTTTCAACATGAAATAAATGATAAAATAAATATATACATATGATATATCAGTTAGAAATATTTTCTTTTTTTAATAGAAAAGATATAAAGTGTTCAAAAACATATTTTCAGAAACAACAATTTATTTTTTTCCTATGAAATCCTTTATCTATATTGTTCATGTCTAAATGCAGTTTTGGAGGTAGGGAAGGAAAAAATAAGATTTGGAATGTGTAGAATGAAATATATTTAATTTGGAAAATAAAAGACTTCTCCAAATTGGGAACAAGGAAAGAGAGGAGGAGGCAGAGAGTATGAGGCAGCTGAATTAGGCTTCGGAAACTCATGCACTGAATAAAATATTTTTTTTTAATTTTGTATCCTTTCACTTTAAGGGGGAAAAAAATCACCAAATAGCTATTTGCTTCTAAATGTACATAAAATGTGAAGATTTGGCAATTGATAACATAATCTTTTCTTCTCATAATTTCCCTAATTGGTTTCCCCTTAAATCAATGCCAGATAAGATTTCAAATCATTGATGTTTGCATATATATTTTTCAATGTTGGTCCCACTTGGTTGGGAAAGACATATATATTTTATACTCATTGCCATCTGTTAATTGCCTACCTATTACTATTTCTAATTAAAAATAACAACAGTCTTAAAATTAGTTATGACAAGTTGAAAATTGAGAATATTATTATTGTCATCTTTAAGAGTATAATATTAGGTCACAATATTCATGGAGAGCATGGATTATCTTCATTTGAAAAAATTGTCTTTTGGGGACAATTGTATTTGTTTTACTGAATTTAGAAGCCCCTATATAGATTTTTACAGGTTTTTGATTTACTTTGTTTTTAATTTGAAGTGAGAAAGAAGCACATCTTCCATTTCAGTGACCAATTTTAAGATTTTATTTTTATTGTGGAGGGACAAAGAGATGTAGGATTATTTATTTTCTTTGGCATTTTCAATCAGACCTTTTTTTTTTTTCCAGATTGAATTGCAGCTTTGAGTTATTTTGTCTAAATTTTTTTAAACCCTGAGTTCCATTTTCTTTAGAAACGAATGATCTGTTTTCAGCCTTCCTCTGGAACAGGCTGTATTTCAGGGATTGACTATTACTCTGGGCTTGTGAATAGCTGGAATCAGACCTACTTTATTCCCATGCCCTAGTGGTTTACTTGTGTTTTCAAATAACTCCAAGTCTCTTTAAAGGCAGGGACTTATCTTGTAGGTCCTGGCAGCCTTCATGCTGGAAGAAATTAACAGAAATTAATTTGAGGGTAGTAATTGAAAAAATGCAAAGGGCTTCCAGAATTGGGAAGGATAAAACTATCCACATCCCTGTCTCACCCTCAAAACCATGTTGCCTTTCTAGGGAGGTAAAAGACGCCAGTGAGTGGCAGGGAACAGTGTTATTGGTGTCTCCTGAGCACCTGATGATACTTGCAAGTACTTAAGAGAAGCAGCAGCTTTGGTATCCACCTGTCAGGTGAAAACCCTAGGAGGAAAAAAGATTTGTGTAGGGAATATCAAAATGTTCAGTTTAAAGAGTAAAATATAGGCCCCCCTAATGGCGCGGGTGGTTGAGGGCAGCACTGTAAAGGTGTCCGCAGCCTCTGCAGCACAGGTTTGATCCCATCCTGGCTGGCCAGGGAGATACCCATGTGGAGTGGCGGACCTCTCCTGTCTGGCCCGCTGCTCCCCTTAGCAGTATATTTTGTCAGTCTGCCTGTTGTGCTCCCCACTCTGTCTCTGGTAAATCCTCTCACCCTCCCACGCATCTGGCCTGTATCCCAGTTCTTGAATAAATAAATAAATCTTTTAAAAAAAATTAAAAATAAAGAGTAAAATATAGTAACCTTGGGAATGATCAACACAACAAGTCATGAAAGTGAGAGAATCAAATGTGGAAAAATAAGTGCCCACATTTGTAAACAAACTTGTGTGTCTATATAATTTAGTACCCTATATGTAATATATACTATATATAATATGTTATATAATTCAGTTTAATGTGTTATGTATGCCCATACACATGTATGTATGTATGCATGCATATGGGTGTGTGTGTATATATATATATATATATATATGTATATTTATGTGTGTGTGTGTGTGTGTATAAAAACAAACTCTGGGGATTCAATATTAATATCTCTCTGAAGGAGAGGGTTGAGGCTTATAAAGATCCACCAAAGCTCATGTAAATAGAAACTGGTTTTACCAGAATACAAAACTAATATTTATTAGTTTATTATACAAAATATACTTGAATGCAAAACTGTACTTTCTATTTCTCTTTTACCATGCTTGATTTTTTTTTTTAATTTTCACAAAATTGATTTACTTTTCTCACCTAAATATAAATATTGTCAGAGGCACTCTGTAAGAATAAAGTTAAAACTTATTGTTTAATTTACATGTTGCTAAACTGGAAAAGTGAGAAATCACCAGTCGTGTTGAACTGTATTTCTGTATGTCATAAACAGTGCTCAAACTCTCTGAAATTCTCTAGGACTTCAAAATACCCATCAAAAAGTGATTCAAAAAGTGATTTGTTTATCTCAAAACTTCACAAATTACTCACAAATCTGACTCATGGCTAATATTAACTGGTAATTCTGATGAGGCCCAGGGACCCTGGGACCCTGGATGTCCTTGGCTTCCACACAGGAAAGAATTTGTGCAGAAGTCAGAGTAGGTGATATAGGAGTGAAGATTTTATTGCAAGCAATAGTACACACTCAGAAAAGAAGATTCAAGGGAGACTCACCCTCTAGTTTTTGAGGTTGCTTGTATAGATGTGTTAGTAGGGGTTCACAGATTGGGTTTTGGACCAGTTTTGACCAGTATTTTGTTTACTGAGACTGTTGAATCATAACAGGACACTGGAAGTTAAACCCAGATAGAGTGAGTTTAAATCAATAAGGTTTGGTTCATCTTGTCTTTGAGTGGATAGGTTGGTGGAAGAGGGTACAGCTGTAGTTAACTTCTCCCTCCCCAAGAGAATTCAGTCCCTTCTGTATTTGTTTAACAACAGGAACAGCAAAGTTCTGGCCTGCAGTTCTGTGCATCTGTCTCTGTCCCAGGACCTTTCTTGTCTCTTTCCCTTGAGAGATCTTTCATCCTCTTTATTTCTAAAAGGAGTAAAGTGATGATATCTCAATCTTCTGTAACTACTTCCTGTTGAACGTGGAAGTGGTCCCTACGTAAATTTATGAGGAGTCTTAGCCTGAGAAAGAGAGAGCCATAGGGCTCTGTGTTTGGGACAGATTGTACATGCAATTGTTGAATATTCAACACCAAGAATGAGTAGACAAGACTGTAATACAAGGAGGGTGAGAGTAACTACCAGGACCCCCATGAATAAGGAGACCCAAGATCACCAATTCTATAAACCTTTCCTATGGATACAACATCTCTTGACTTCTATAGCCTTTTGAAGATGAACATGATTAAATAATTTAAGAAGCAAGGGCCAAAGATCAAGAGAAGTAAGTATATTCTACTAACAGTAGCCATAGACCCAATTGAGTCTATTAATCTAGACAAACTAATTAGAAAAGGCTTTGTTTGTAATAGGAGTCCAGAGCCAGGATGCAGTTTTTTCAAGGTGCTGCAGCTCTGGAAATCTACTTCTTTCCTGTGATTTCAGAAAACCAGTCCTGGAGCTTAGCTCAAGGTTGTTTCCATTCCCTTGTAAATATAAACTTCAGACAGAAAAAGCAGACTCTTTTTTTGTTTGTTTTTGTTTTTGTTAAGGTCTAAGAATGATTGAACCAATGAGCCTCCATAACATTTCCACCAGTGAAGTACTATTCACCAATTGGATGAATAGATTAACTTGAGAGCTTTTTAGTTTTGTTTTGTTTTCACATTTTTTAAAATTTGGAATTATAATGAAGAATAAGAGTTTGCCAGAGTTAAATTTGACAAATAAAATTAGGACAATTATCAAGCAACAAATTTTTATAAAACTCTCTAATTTACTCCCTTTAAATATTCAGAACAAGTCAAAACCCAAAAATACTATATCAATTATTGACTTAATAAAGGATGAAATAATTGAGGAAGTAGAGAATCTCTAATAAGCTTTTCCCA